CATGGGGACCCCAACCCATGGGAGCCCCAACCCATGGGAACCCCAACCCATGGGGAACCCCAACCCATGGAGACATCCAACCCATGGGGAACCCCAGCCCATGGGGACCCCCCCAGGATGCCCTCAGAGACATAGGGCTGGCCATGGAGACATCCAACCCATGGGGACCCCCAACCCATGGGAACCCCAACCCATGGGAGCCCCAACCCATGGGGACCCCCAACCCATGGAGATCCTCAACACATGGGGACCCCACCTAAGACCCCCTCACAGCCACAGGGCTGACCATGGAGACTTCCAACCCATGGGGAAACCCAACCCATGGGGAACTCCAACCCACGGGGACCCCCAACCCATGGAGATCCTCAACACATGGGGACCCCACCTAAGACCCCCTCACAGCCATAGGGTTGACCATGGAGACTTCCAACCCATGGGGACCCCCCCCGACCCCCTCAAAGCCACCATGGAGGTGGGATGCAGTCACCTCACCTGTGTCAAGATGCAGGATTTACCATGGAGACCCTGAACTTATGGGGACCCTTAAGCCCCAAGACCCCTTCACAGCCATAGGATTGCCCATGGAGACCCCAACCCATGGAGACCCCCAACCCATGGGGAACCCCTCCAAGATCCCCTCAGAGCCGCCTCACCTGCAGCAAGATGTAGAGCTGACCATGAAGACCTTCAACCCATAGAGACCCCCCACCCGTGGGGACCCCCCAAAGACCCCCTCTCCCATAGGGTTGACCGTGGAGACCCCCACCCCATGCAGACCCCCCAAGAGCCCGTCCAAGCAGGCCGCAGGCTGTGGCAAGGGGAGGTGGTGACCCATGGGGGGGTCCCAGTGCCCCCCCACTGACCTGAGGTCCAGTTCCAGCCCTTGTGCCAGTTCTCCTTGCAGGTGAAGGCGTCCCTGCAGTCCTCCCACCACTGCTCGCAGTCCTCCCGGCACAGGGGCACGTGCAGGATCCGCTCCCGACGCCAGCTCGTGTCCGCCTGCGGCACCCCCGGCCCCACGGCCACCCCCAGCTCACCGCGGGCAGCCCTGGTCACCCCCATCCATCCCTGGTCACCCCCATCCACCCCCGGTCACCCCCATCCACCCCCGGTCACCCCCATACTTGGGAGTGTAGATCTGTACTGGGCAATTAGCCCTGGTCACCCCCATCCACCCCCGGTCACCCCCATCCACCCCCGGTCACCCCCATCCACCCCCGGTCACCCCCCATCCATCCCCGGGCACCCCCATCCATCCCTGGTCACCCCCATCCACCCCCGGTCACCCCCATCCATCCCTGGGCAGCCCTGGTCACCCCCATCCATCCCTGGTCACCCCCATCCACCCCCGGTCACCCCCATCCATCCCCGGGCACCCCCATCCATCCCCGGTCACCCCCATCCACCCCCGGTCACCCCCATCCATCCCCTGGGCACCCCCATCCATCCCCGGTCACCCCCATCCATCCCTGGGCAGCCCATCCCCGGGCACCCCCATCCATCCCTTGGCACCACAATCCTTCCAGGGTCCCCCCCATCCTCCCCCTGTCACCCCCATCCATCCCCGGTCACCCCCCCATCCCCTGTCACCCCCAACCATCCCCGGTCAACCCCCATTCATCCCCAGGCAGCATCCTCCCCGGTCACCCCCATCCATCCCCGGGCACCCCCATCCATCCCTGGGCACCCCCATCCATCCCTGGTCACCCCCATCCACCCCCGGTCACCCCCATCCATCCCCGGTCACCCCCATCCATCCCCGGGCACCCCCATCCACCCCCGGTCACCCCCATCCACCCCCGGGCACCCCCATCCACCCCCGGTCACCCCCATCCATCCCCTGTCACCCCCATCCACCCCCGGTCACCCCCATCCATCCCCTGTCACCCCCATCCACCCCCGGTCACCCCCATCCATCCCCTGTCACCCCCATCCATGCCCGGTCACCCCCATCCATCCCTGGGCACCCCCATCCATCCCCGGTCACCCCCATCCATCCCCGGGCACCCCCATCCATCCCCGGGCACCCCAGTTCATCCCCATTCACCCCAGTTTGCTCCTGTTCACCCCAGTTCATCCCAATTCAATCCCATTCACCCCAATTCACCCCTTTTCATCCCAGGTCATCCCAATTCTACCCCGTTCACCCCAATCAACATCTGTTAATCCCAATTCACCCCTGTTCATCTCAATTCAACCCAGTTAACCCCAATTCACCCCTGTTCATCCCAATTCAACCCCCCCTTCATCCCAGTTCAACCCAGTTAACCCCCATTCACCCCAGTTCACCCCTGTTCATCCCAATTCACCCCAGTTAACCCCTGTTCACCCCATTCACTCCAGTTCACCTCTGTTCATCCCAGTTCACCCCAGTTTATCACTCCTGTTCACCCCAGTTCATCCCAACTCAATCCCATTCACCCCAATTAACCCCTGTTCATCCCAGTTCAACCCAGTTAACCCCAATTCACCCCAGTCCATCCCAATTCAACCCCATTCACCCCAGTTCACCCCTGTTCATCCCACTTCACCCCAATTCACTCCCCTTAATCCCAGTTCACCCCAATTCACCCCTGTTCACCCCATTCACCCCAGTTCACCCCTGTTCATCCCACTTCACCCCAATTCACCCCGTTCATCCCAGTTCACCCCAATTCACCCCTGTTCACCCCATTCACCCCAGTTCACCCCTGTTCACCCCATTCACCCCAATTCACCCCTGTTCATCCCAGTTCACCCCAATTCACCCCTGTTCACCCCATTCACCCCAGTTCACCCCTGTTCATCCTTCACCCCAATTCACCCCTGTTCATCCCACTTCACCCCAATTCACCCTGTTCATCCCAGTTCACCCCAGTTCACCCAGTTCATCCCAATTCACCCCTGTTCACCCCATTCACTCCAGTTCACCCCTGTTCATCCTTCACCCCAATTCACCCCTGTTCATCCCAGTTCACCCCTGTTCATCCCAATTCAACCCCATTCACCGCTGTTCATGCCAGTTCACCCCAATCCACCCCTGTTCACCCCCATTCACCCCAGTTCATCCCAATTCAACCCCATTCGCCGCTGTTCACACCAGTTCACCCCAGTTCACCCCTGTTCATCCTTCACCCCAATTCACCCCTGTTCATCCCAGTTCACCCCTGTTCACCCCAATTCACCCCTGCTCATCCCAGTTCACCCCTGTTCATCCCAGTTCAACCCCATTCACTGCTGTTCACCCCTGTTCACCCCCATTCACCCCAGTTCACCCCTGTTCATCCCAATTCACCCCCATTCACCCCCGTTGACCCCAGCTATGGGGCACCCCCCATGCGCGCTGTGGGGGGGCTGGATTCCTGCCCCCACCTGGTCAATCCACGGCCCCAGGTTGGGGGAGCACTCGTACAAGCACGTGTCCTGGATGAAGTGGCGCTTGCAGCGGGGGGGCATCACCCCGCAGTGGTCCCAGTTGAAGCCGTACAGGTAGGACTGGTCCCGGTGGGCCTCCAGGCTGGTGTTGGCCGTGCAGCAGGCGTTGTCCTTCCAGAGCGAGCACTGCACCGCACACCGGGGCTCAGCACCGCGCACCGGGGCTCAGCACCGCCGCACACCGGGGCTCGGCACCGCCGCACACCGGGGCTCGGCACCACCGCGCACCGGGGGCTCAGCACCGCACACCGGGGCTCAGCACCGCCGCACACCGGGGCTCAGCACCGCCGCACACCGGGGCTCGGCACCGCCGCACACCGGGGCTCAGCACCACCGCACACCGGGGCTCAGCACCACCGCACACCGGGGCTCGGCACCACCGCACACCGGGGCTCAGCACACCGGGGCTCAGCACCGCGCACCGGGGCTCAGCACCACCGCACACCGGGGCTCAGCACCGCACACCGGGGCTCAGCACCGCACACCGGGGCTCAGCACCGCCGCACACCGGGGCTCAGCACCGCCGCACCGGGGCTCAGCACCACCGCGCACCGGGGGCTCAGCACCGCCGCGCACCGGGGCTCGGCACCGCCGCACACCGGGGCTCGGCACCGCACACCGGGGCTCAGCACCGCGCACCGGGGGCTCGGCACCGCACGCCGGGGCTCGGCACCGCCGCACGCCGGGGCTCAGCACCACCGCACGCCGGGGCTCAGCACCGCACACCGGGGCTCAGCACCGCCGCACACCGGGGCTCGGCACCGCGCACCGGGGCTCGGCACCACCGCACACCGGGGCTCAGCACCACCGCACACCGCACCGCACACCGGGGCTCAGCACCGCCGCACACCGGGGCTCAGCACCGCGCACCGGGGCTCAGCACCACCGCACACCGGGGCTCGGCACCGCACACCGGGGCTCAGCACCGCACACCGGGGCTCAGCACCGCAAACCGGGGCTCGGCACCGCCGCGCACCGGGGCTCAGCACCGCACACCGGGGGCTCAGCACCGCACACCGGGGGCTCGGCACCGCCGCACCGGGGCTCGGCACCGCGGCCGCACGAGCGGGCACCGGGGCTGGTAGCCAGGGACCCACCTGCCCGTAGAGCTGCCCCTCGGGGCCCGGCTCTGCCTTGTGGTGCTTGGCATCCATGCAGGTGTTGAGCAGCGAGTCCCGCACGGCGGCCCCCGGCCAAGCCACGAGCAGCAGCAGCAGCAGCAGCAGCACCCCCGGAGCCGCCATGGGCCCGCCGGGAGCGGGGCCGCGGGGGATCGGGCTCGTACCTCGGGGGTGCCGGTGCCGGTGCCGCGGGGCAGCGATCTCAAAGGTCGCGGTGCGGAGCAACCCTTGCCCAACGATCGCGGGACGTCAGCGGCGTGTGGGGCACGGTGTGGGGCACGGTGTGGGGCACGGTGTGGGGCACGGTGTGGGGCGGGTGCTGCCGTGTCCTTGCGCCGTCTTCCCGGCGCCGGGTGGGACCCGGCAGCGGCCAAAATCCACCCGGGAATGTTTTTTCCTTCCCTTCTCCATAGGGGAGATGGGGGGGGGGGGGGCAAGGGGGGCGTTCGGGATGGGCCCCATGGCGGGGGGGGTTGGGGGTGGCCTCAGGACCTGATCCCATCCCACGCAGCAGGATCGGACCCCCCCCCTCCCCACCGGGCTGTGGGGTCCCCCCATGGGTGCTGGGGGGGAAAGGGGACCCCCAGGGGTTGGAGATGCACCGGGGGGGGGGGGGAGGTGTCCCCAGGGGGGCACAGGGGAACCATTGGGGGGGTTAAAGATGCTCGGGGAGGGGGGGGCAGGTACCACCCTGTTGGGGTAGCAAATGCCCCTCCATGGGTCACAGACACCCCATTGATGTCACAGGTACTCCATTGGTGTCGCAGGTACCCCATAGGTGTCACAGGCACCCCATAGGTATCACAGGCACCCCATTGGTGTCACAGGCACCCCATTGGTGTCACAGGCGCCCCATTGGGGTCACAGGCACCCCATTGGGGTCACAGGTGCCCCATTGATGTCACAGGCACCCCATTGGAGTCACAGGCACCCCATTGGGGTCACAGGCACCTCATTGATGTCACCCGTACCCCATAGGTGTCACAGGCACCCCATTGGTGTCACAGGCACCCCATTGGGGTCACAGGCACCCCATTGATGTCACCGGTACCCCATAGGTGTCACAGGCACCCCATTGGTGTCACAGCCGCCCCATTGATGTCACAGGCGCCCCATAGGTGTCACAGGCACCCCATTGGTGTCACAGGCGCCCCATTGATGTCACAGGCGCCCCATAGGTGTCACAGGCACCCCATTGATGTCACAGGTACCCCATTGGTGTCACAGGTACCCCATAGGTGTCCGGCACCCCATTGATGTCACAGGCGCCCCATAGGTGTCACAGGCGCCCCATTGATGTCACAGGCACCCCATAGGTGTCTGGCACCCCATTGATGTCACAGGCGCCCCATTGGTGTCACAGGCACCCCATTGATGTCACAGGCGCCCCATAGGTGTCACAGGCACCCCATTGATGTCACAGGTACCCCATTGGTGTCACAGGTACCCCATAGGTGTCCGGCACCCCATTGATGTCACAGGTGCCCCATTGATGTCACAGGCACCCCATAGGTGTCCGGCACCCCATTGATGTCACAGGCGCCCCATTGGTGTCACAGGCACCCCATTGATGTCACAGGCGCCCCACTGATGTCACAGGCACCCCACAGGTGTCACCGGTACCCCATTGATACCCCGGGCACTCCCATTCCCAGCCGGGAGGGGGCGCCCCTCCTCATCAAGCCCTCCGCCCCGCCCCTTGTGGGCGTGGCCTTGCCAGACCCTCCCCTCCGCGCATGCGCCGTGCCTGAGCCGCACTTCCGGGCGGGCCGCGGCCGGTCCCGGTGCTCCGGTTCCCGTTCCCGTTGCTCCCGCTCCCGTTCCCGTTCCCTTTGCTCCCGCTCCCGTTCCCGTTCCCCCCCCGGCCATGTCCACGCTGTTCCCGTCGCTGCTGCCCCGCGTCACCGAGTCGCTGTGGTTCAACCTGGACCGGCCCTGCGTGGACGAGACCGAGCTGCAGCAGCAGGAGCAGCAGCACCAGGCCTGGGTGGGCGGCGAGGGCCTGAGGGAGGCTCCGAGGCTGCCAAGGGGGGGCTTGAGCGTTAATTACAGTGTTAATTAGGGCGTTAATTACGGCGTTAATTACAGTGTTAATTACGGCGTTAATTACGGCGTTCATTAGGGATTAAACGGGGGGGGAGGCTGGGTCCCAGTGGGGGGGCTTCGGGGTCCCCTAAGGGAGACTGGGGGAGCCCCAGGGGGAGACTTGGGGGGGCCCCTAAGGGACCCTGGGGGGGCTCAAGGGACACTTGGGGGGCATTGGGGAACACATTGGGGCCTTGGAGACTTGGGGGGGGCACTCAAGGGACTCTTATGGGGTCCCCGGTGCCCCCCACCCCATGGAACCCCCCCTGGTGCTCACCCCCCGCTCATCCCGCCCCAGCTGCAGAGCATCGCCGAGAAGGACAACACCTTGGTACCCATCGGGAAACCGGCGTCCGAGGTGGGCCCGGCGCTGGGGGCAGCGGGAATGGGGCCCTGGGGCTGGGAATGGGGCGTGCGGGGGGCGGGACTGGGACGGGCTCTGCCCCCGCAGCACTACGACGAGGAGGAGGAGGAGGACGATGAGGACGACGAGGACAGCGAGGAGGACTCGGAGGACGACGAGGACATGCAGGACATGGATGAGATGAACGACTACAACGAGTCCCCTGACGATGGGGAGATCAACGAGGTGAGGATGTGGGGCTGAGGCCCCGAAGAGTGGGGCTGAGAGCCCCGATTATGTGGGGCTGGGACCCCCAGGCTGTGCGTCCCCCGCTCCTTCCTGTTCCTGCTTCCCAGGTGGACATGGAGGGTGCGGAGCAGGACCAGGACCAGTGGATGATCTGAGGGTGCCGAGGCCGTTCCCAAGCGGAGCAGCACTGGGGGGGTCCCTGTGCCCCTCATAGCACTGGGGGGGCTCTGTGGAGCACAGAGAGACCCAAAGCCAGGCTGGAGCGTTGCCATTCCCATTCCCCAATAAACTCTCTTTTTAAGTAACCACCCCCCAGCTGTGGTTCCAGCGGCCACCACATTCCCAGTGCATTCCCATCTTGTGCCCACCACATCCCAGTATGTTCCCACCATGTGCCCACCACATTCCCAGTGCGTTCCCATCCTGTGCCCACCACGTCCCAGTATGTTCCCACCATGTGCCCACCACATTCCCAGTGCGTTCCCATCCTGTGCCCACCATGTCCCAGTATGTTCCCACCATGTGCCCACCACATTCCCAGTGCGTTCCCATCCTGTGCCCACCACATCCCAGTATGTTCCCACTATGTCCATGTCCTCACCATGTTCCTGCCACATTCCCAGTGCATTCCACTGTGTTCCTAGTGCGTTCCCACAATGTTCCTACCACATTCCCAGTGCGTTCCCATCCTGTGCCCACTACATCCCAGTATGTTCCCACCATGTGCCCACCACATTCCCAGTGCGTTCCCATCCTGTGCCCACCACATCCCAGTATGTTCCCACCATGTCCATGTCCTCACCATGTTCCTGCCACATTCCCAGTGCATTCCACTGTGTTCCTAGTGCGTTCCCACAATGTTCCTACCACATTCCCAGTGCGTTCCCATCCTGTGCCCACTACATCCCAGTATGTTCCCACCATGTGCCCACCACATTCCCAGTGCGTTCCCATCCTGTGCCCACTACGTCCCAGTATGTTCCCACCATGTGCCCACCACATCTCAGTATGTTCCCACCATGTCCATGTCCTCACCATGTTCCTACCACATTCCCAGTGCATTCCCATCATGTTCCTACCACGTTCCCAGTGCGTTCCACCATGTTCCTAGTGTTCCCACTGCAGTCCCAGTCCCTTCCCATCATGTTCCCACCACGTTTCCTCAGTGTTCCCATTCCATCCCTACCCCATTCCACCACATTCCCAGTGCATTCCACCATGTTCCTAGTATGTTCCCACCATGTTCCTACCACATTCCCAGTGCATTCCACCATGTTCCTAGTACGTTCCCATCATGTTCCCATCACATTCCCAGTGCATTCCATCATGTTCCCACCACGTTCCCAGTACGTTCCACCATGTTCCTAGTGCATTCCCACCACAGTCCCAGTCCCTTTCCATCATGTTCTCACCACATTTCCTCTGTATATCCACCGTGTTCCCACTCCTTTTCCACCCTATTCCCAGTGTGTTCCCACCACATTCCCAGTGCTTTCCTATCATGTTCCCACCACGTTTCCACCCCATTCCCAGCACATTCCCACCATGTTCCCAGCTCCTTTCCACCCCATTCCCCCCATGTTCTTACCCCATTCCCACCCCATTCGCCCATGTTCCCACCCTATTCCCCCCATGTTCTTACCCCATTCCCCTCATGTTCTTACCCCACTCCCACCCTTCCCCCCATGTTCTTACCCCATTCCCCCCATATTCCTACCCCATTCCCAGCGCCTTCCCCCCCGTGTTCCTACCCCATTCCCACCCCATTCCCCCCATGTTCTTACCCCACTCCCCCCATGTTCCTACCCCATTCCCCCCGTGTTCTTATGCCATCCCCCCCCTGTTCTTACCCCATTCCCCCCATGTTCCCACCCCATTCCCCCCATGTTCCCACCCCATTCCCCCCTGTTCTTACCCCATTCCCCCCATGTTCCCACCCCATTCCCCCCTGTTCTTACCCCATTCCCCCCATGTTCCCACCCCATTCCCCCCATGTTCCCACCCCATTCCCACCCCATTCTCCCCATGTTCCTACCCCATTCCCAGCGTGTTCCCCCCCATGTTTTTACCTGATTCCCACCCCATTCCCCCCATGTTCCCACCCCATTCCCCCATGTTCCCACCCTACTCCCCCCCTGTTCTTACCGCATTCCCCCCTGTTCTTACCCCATTCCCCCCATGTTCTTACCCCATTCCCACCCCACTCCCCCCCTGTTCTTACCCCATTCCCCCCATGTTCCCACCCCATTCCCCCCATGTTCCCACCCCATTCCCCCCATGTTCCCACCCCATTCCCCCCCCGTTCCCACCCCATTCCCCCCATGTTCCCACCCCATTCCCCCCCGTTCCCGGCCGGTCCCCACCCGCGGGCCTGCCGGTGTAGCGCAGCTCGGCGATGCCGTCGGGGATGCCGTGGAAGTACTCGAGGCTGGCTCGGTGCAGGCGGCAGCGGAACCGCCCG